CGGTATGTGCCTAAGTGTGTTTGCTTGGCTGCGGTGCATCCGCTTGTTTGTGTGTTTGCAAGAGATTTGCTTTAAATGAAGTCTGACCTTCGCGAGACGACGGGCCTGCTTTGAAATGGCAAGTTGTTTATTGGAGTGCCTCGTCTCTACCCGTCGCAAGCTCAAAAATAGCACCACTTATAAAGCGTCTACAGGGCCGTACGCCTCAACACACTGAATGAAAGCGGCCTGGAATTGTTTACAGCCAACAGACTAACTCGAGCGAGCTGGAAGCCAGTCAATAAAGTTCTCTCAATAAAAAGGTCTATAAGGCCCGTGAGGACTGTGTTCATCCACCGCTTTTTATCGTCCTGTAAAAGTTGTAATTTTTAATGAAAACACTTTTGGTGTCTCTTCTTCACGAAATATACAGGAATAACCCCCCAAAAATCCCCCATAGCAAAGTAAAAGCTAATGTAGTGGAGAGCATAACGTTCCTTTCCACAAGAATCAGATTATTGTTTTATTTTACCAATGTACCATTCAGCTTTCATTTTCCTGAAGGACAGGCGCCTGCGCTGCCCAACAAAGGAAAGAACGTGGTGAATATTCAATAATCCTCCCTGGTTGTGGATGTTAACTCAATTTTTTTTTTTTCCTCTGCCAGGACCTGAACGGCACGCTGAAGAGCCTTCTGTCCGAGTGGTTCTCTGTGGGTCTGCTTCGACTGGAGAGGATCACCTGGCAGTCTCCCTGTGACATCCTACAGAGGATCAGCCAGTAAGCAGCTTTCCCCTCCTTCTGTTATCACAGTCTCTTGAGTCATACAGTTGTGCAGCAATGCAAAACCCGCCCTCTGAACACAGATTCTCCAATCACAGCTCAACAAACATAGTTAGCGCGCTGCTGGGATACTGTTTTTTTTTTGTAGGTCAATACAGGCAGGGTTTCCTAATATTGAACATGGACAAAATGTGAGATCCAACTCTTATCACAGCCATAAAGGGCACATTTAAGTCACACCAGCTGGAAACGTCATAAAGTCAGTTTCTTTATGAGCCAAAAATTACAAATAGTTTTATTTCCCCCGATATCACTGTCAAGTGCACATGTATCGCACACAACGGAGAGCTTGGCAGGTGTAGCGACAGAAGCTGAGAAGGGCAGGACTTGGTGAATGGTTAATTGAAAGCAGAAAGACTAACCCTCAGCCCCCCCCACCAGGTACGAGGCCGTGCACCCTGTAAGGAACTGGACAGACCTGAAGCGCAGAGTTGGGCCGTACCGCCGCTGCTACGCCTTCACCCATGCAACCATGCCGGGGGAACCCCTGGTTGTGCTACACGTGGCCCTCACTGAAGACATCTCTGATAACATCCAGGTGAGAATGGATAGCTGCAGGCTGTGGTAATGGGTTGTCTGTCACTTCTACACACCTGGGGGGGGGGGGGGGGGGGGGTAGTTAAGCATCTAGGATTACATTGTTCCTCTTCTCAGCTGACAAATGGATTTGTGCTTGTGTGAAAAAAACAATACTGAGACCTTTAAACCTGCACATCCCTCTGGGCGCGCTGCCGACTTCCTTCACTTGGTATTTACAGCGTGGAAACGGCCCTTTTGACAACTCTGCAGTTTGAGAACAGTGCATGGTGTGAGTACAACAACGCCATCCTCCGCTGCAGGAGAGCCCTGCATTGATGGCAGCTATCTAGCCACAGTGAGAACGTGCTTCTGTCTGGGTGATGCACAGGTCGTCCGTGGGGGGAGAAAAAAATATATAATTTCTTTCCTCAGAGTATCGTCCGTGAGTTCGCAACTCTCGACTCCGAGGAGGACGTGAATAAGGTCAACGCGGCCATCTTCTACTCCATCTCCTCCACACAAGCTGGCCTTCAAGGGGTGGAGCTCGGCAACTACCTCATCAAGAGGGTGGTCCGAGAACTACAGGTGAGTGCTGGGGGGGGGACGACTTTGAGGGGGGCTTCAGTTTCTGTTTGATTTACTATTCAAAAGTTTCAATTTCAGTCGCAGTGCTGACTCGTAAACATCCAAAAACACGTTTCAATGCTTTAAGCATCGCGCGCTTTAGTTTTTCAAACAACAGCTGTTTTGATTGAGCTTTTTTTTTACTCGTCGCCATTTATATTAATGGCAAAAATACGTTCCAGTAAGCTCAGCAGATTTTGCATTTTCTGCTTCAGCATTTGCTGTTTGTGTCGGAGTGCAAAGTAGACCCACTACCCGATGAGGCCATATTCATTTTTTTTCTGAGGCTGTCTGCTTTTTTATTAATGTTTATGTTGAAATCAAGCTCGTAACCTCATGAAATTGCATCTGCAAAAGAAGTATTTTTCTGTATAGAATGTGTAGCTTCTGTTACTAAAGTGCTGGAATGTTGAAAGAATGAAGGAATTACCAAGATATTGGTTCATCAAAGTTCATTTATTTTTATTAGCCAATGAAAAAATCAATTAGTCAATATAGCTGCTTAACTAGCTAGCTTTCTTTTGGTAGATTAAAAAAAAATCATCCTATAGAATAAGACTCGTTAACATTTTAAAGCAGATGATTCTGGTTGTAATATGTCGCTACTAACACGCAAAAAAAAGAGAACTTGAACTTTTAGATCCTCCATTCCTTTTTCTGGACACTTTTATCCAAAACCCTCCACCACTGTTCTTACTTTTTCATGGCGGTAGTGGGAGACGATCACTCAACCCCATCAGTGGAAGTGCATCGCTCGAGACTCGGCAACACAAATTTGTATTTCGCAAACTTGTACTGTGCAGAGGGCTTGGCTTTCTGACAGGGTTTTATGTAAAGGTGAAGAGAAAGAGTGGCGGAGACACACCGGGACCACTGTGCTGATGGATAGATGATAGAGTGGAAAAAGAAAAGGTCAAGGCGGAGGGACGGGGGGGTCTTTCTTGTCTTTATCGATTGGCCCCCAGAGCACATGTCCGGCGCTGCGGTTTCTCCCTTTTTTCTCTTTATTACTTCTCTTATCACCTCTTTCCTTATTTCCAACTACCCGTCTTTTCCATCCTCCTCATCCCGTTGTGAGCACCCATTAGTTAAAAGTAGAAGCTCCCGATACAAGAATACATGTAAGTGAGAGGACCAATTCAAAAGGATGATCAAAAGGAGACTATGTCGCGAAGCAGCGCAGCTCTGCAGGGGGTGTCTGACACTTTTATCCACGGCGACTTTCACCCCTCTGCCGTCCACATCAATCCGTCACTTATATACCCAGAGACCGGAGTGCAAAGATGGACAGTAAAAAAAAGAGGGTTTTGGCGGGAGGAGAGTGTGGGGGGGGGGCAATGGAGTGGAAGGCCGGAGCTGCAGGCCGAGCACAAATAAAAAAAAAAGAAAAGGGTTTTTGATACCGAGGTTGAGGGTTCGTCTCGCTTATTTCCACCTTTGCAAAGCTAGTGCCCCTGTGAGTGAAGATCAAATCGCTTCTTTCCCTTCTGTTTCTTCTCTCTGAGCTTTTTGAGGTGGCTCTGGATTTAAGTGCCTACGCATGCATGCAAAGGATTCTGCGATTTCCTTTTTTAAAGTTTAGATATTTTCATGCTACCATGGTATAATCTGTAAAGCATCCAACATCTTAGGAGAGATCACAAATGAAAAACTATTCCAATTGGCTCTACAATGACTAAAGACCGGGAGAAAAGTATCAAACCCTGAATCACACCGAGTTAATCAATGAAGGGACGATCTTGCTACTGATCTCAGAAATGCGCTCGAACCTAATGCAACAATTACATATTTGCACAGCATTCAGACCTATTAAACACACGTGTTATTTTTACACCGGATGGATACGATTCGGCCCCCTTCTTCTTGGGGAAAACTAAACACCTTTTTAAAAGAGTGCGTCATGCCTGCAGTGGTCAACGTCTTTATTGCCCCCGGCGAGCTTCCAAAATCACCACCAACATCAAACCAGAAATGTCCGAGAACGCACTCGCCCAGTTAATGAATACTCAACCTGAAGCGCCGCCCCTCTTCGTGTCTTCCAGAGCGAGTTCCCTCACATGGCCCAGTTCTCCAGCCTGTCTCCGATCCCGGGCTTCTCCTCCTGGCTCCAAGGTCTGCTCGGCCAGTGCAAGAAGGAAGGCCGGGGCTCCGACCTCCTGTCCGAGCAGGAGTGGGAGCAGGTGGAACAGGCCGTCGACTCGGCCCCGGGGCCTGCGGCCATCGAGGCCCTCCGCAAGCTCATCGCCACCGGCGAGTGGACGCGCTCCGAGCGCCTGACCCGCGTCTTGGAGCCCGTCCTGATGCGCCTGTGTGCCTGGTACCTGTACGGGGAGAAGAGGCGCGACTACGCTCTCAACCCGGTGGCCAACTTCCACCTGCAGAACGGCGCCACCATGTGGCGGCTCAACTGGAGCGCCGACACCAGCCCCAGGGGCGTGGCAAACTCCTGCGGCATCATGGTGAACTATCGCTACTACCTGAACGAGACGTCCAAAAACAGCGCCCTCTACCTGCAGAACAAGGTCATCAGTGCGTCGGAGCAGCTGGTGGGGCTGGTGTCCCAGTTTCAGAAGAGCAGCAAACTTTGACGATGGAGACAAATACAAAAATGGGTTCGGTTAGTTGGCGCGTGATATCATTCGTACGCCAACTGGCCGACTTAATAATATATTATTTGACGAAGACACCGCTCAACGAATGTCCGCTGGTATTGTTTTTTAATTGAAATTAGCCCATTGCTCACATGACGCGTCTGTGTGCTGTGAAAAGGTCCAGGTTGAATGTGTTTGATATTGTGTAAGGGAGACTGTGGCTAATGTAGCACGAGACATCTATCAATGCTTTTCCATGCTCTTGGATAACTGTGTGTGTGTAATGGTGAAGCGGGAGCAATGAGGGAGTGCAGCTACTGGAATAAATTATGTTTATTTACGCATTTCTTCCGACAAAAGTTCTTAAATCAACAAATAGAACACGCGTTCAGGGAAACACGCGTTTCCCTGATTTCTTAGAGTATATTATGCTCATGCTGAAACTATGTTTGGGATTTATTTTCATATCATTTCCGGTTGTTGGTGTGCCATGAGATTTTTTCTGTGTCTCAAGTGTGCCTTGACGCAAAATAGGTTGAAAAACACTGTCCTAGGGGACTGTTTTTAAATTTGGTTAATCATTCTCACTAAAGCGTTAGGTAGTAGACTCATTTTAAGTGAAAATAATTATCTAACTGGTGCCGATGATATCAATATAAATGCGTGATGCATCAAATGCTTTTCTTGTTGGACTTTCTCGTGAGTTTGTGGCCACTAAAAGTCCAACCTAACCAATGTCAAATGACTAGCTAACGCTAGCTGATAGCTAACGTTAGCTAACGCTAGCTGATAGCTAATGTTAGCTAATGTTAATAGCTTGTAGCTTCACCTTCCCGGCTTTCTCGGCATGTATAAAGGTTTAACGTTACGGACCCACTTTAAGTGTATTTTTAACTTGAACCTATCAGTGCGGTAATATTAGGAGGAACAATAACTAAACTGAAATCCTATTGATAAAAGTGCGCTTGCTGCTCTCTGGCGCCAAATGGGTTAATGTTAACAGCCATTACGTGAGTCGCGCGCGGCTCTGCTCAACTCTTTACTGTGGTATATTTTCCCTTCGTGGTGCCTTTTCTCGGCTATACACTAATGAGCTAGCGTTAGCTTAAACATGTAGGTAGCTCTGAGAGCACGGAGGAAATGCGCTTCAAGCGGGGGAAAATGTAAGCTGCAGCTGCTCTGTAGATAACAGAGGAGGACAAGCAAGGTCGATTCATGACCACTGTCCGGTAAAAAATACTTTTTAGTTGTTGGCCAAAAACTAAATGGATAGGATAATATTGGCATTGCCTGCCGTGCCAAAATAGTTTAGCTTTGTTTTCAGCTCTGGTTTCATTAGAAATTAACTAACTATTGTAGCCTACCCACAGTATTTTGTCTGTTAATAATTGAGAATTGATACTAATCATATATATACATATATTCTTTTTGAATAAAAAAAATTATATATGAATAATTCATGTTTAAGAAACCTTTCTGCCATTTCTTGCTCATTTCTATAGTATTATGAGGGTTTATTTAAATACAAAATATGTTTGTTGGGATCTAATTTGAGTCATTATCTTAACCCAAGTCAGTAATGATTATTGAACATTACTTATTTTTCCTAAAATAAATACCTGAATTGTATTTTCAGGTATATATGTATTTTTTTTGCAGTTTTTTCTATCTGATGTTGGTGTGATGTGGAACTCTTTGGGGACCTCATAAAGTTTTGGTAAGTACATTTAACAAACAAACTCTTCACAGGTATGCTGATCCCAGCAGTACTGCTCAGGATAAATATTCTGTAATGTTGTGATATTTTTGCTCTCTATAGGGCAGTTATCGCTGAGAGCAAAGTAAATCTGCCACTGATCATATGTAGGCACTCAACAACTTTTGTGCAAATGATTTTGGTCCTCTTTAGTCAGCTTAATATTTCATTTCCTGGGACAAACAATGAGTTAAATTAATTACTCATCTTTTGTTAGTTCTACAGTGCCGGAGTTTTAAGTACCACGGGTGACTGTATAAACATCATCACTAATTATTTTTTTTTCTTCTCTCTTTGTTGTTTGTCTAGTTTATGTGGCAGTGTAAAGACTGTGGCGCTGAAGTGTCTAGGCGATCAGAGATTCTTAAACATTACAAACTAAAACATAGTCATTTTGGACGTGGCCTTCATATTAAGTGTGTATATCCTGATTGGCCTGCACTTTTCCATATCGATGAGGTAAGCACATGCTAGCTATTTTCCCAATGTGCCTCGTGTCTTTGTACAACAGAATATTGCACCAATACTCTGTATTTTGTCTTTTTGTTCTTTGATAAGATACATGCTGAATTCCAACGCATTACAGCCATCCCACTGGAATCTTCCTTCATGGCACGATTGGACAGCCATTTAGCCCAATTGACATCCATCTTCCAGATGAAGGGAGGAGTTGCTGGCCAGAAACTGGCTAAACATCTGGAGATTTTGCAAGAAGTAAATATGTACACCAATCATTATGACATGTAAAATGTCATGTATATATGTGATGATGAAAACATTAAGTTATATTGTACATTTAGGTTATAACATTTTATAAATATTGTTCAGTTTATTGAAATTGTTGTACTTATTTATGTATTTCTTATTATTATTTAATAATTGTAATTCTTTAACACAGGAGACAAGTGATGTCAATCTGAAAAGGACAGCTATCCTAAAGGATCTTTGCAACTACCTGGGTGAGAACGAGGGACATCTCGTTCGGGAGTATATAGTAAGTAATTGGGATTGATTTGCCTGTCACATGTTGTTTTAAGATCCTAATGTCACCCACATACGTTTTCAGAGGTTCATGTTATCATTGACAGACGGTTGAGAATATTCATATAAAATTAACAACTTGCTGCACAGTATCGTCGTTCCTATGTACATATTTAATAACACCTCACAGATATATAGTTTTATTTAAATACATAGAAAATGGGATCAGATTCATCTAAGAGATTATTATGTATGGTGGCAATGTTCATACAGTAAAGTATACGTCATTGAAATTAAATACATTTCATGAATCGTGTTCTTTTCTCCTATTCTCTTTACACATACAGGACATTGAAGGAAATGACATCCTGAGAGACCTGCAAAAGCATACCATGGGTATATATGTCATCAACAAGGAGGGTGGAGAAATGCGACATTGTGATGACATTGGAATTTTCGTTGAAGGAGTAATCATTCTCGACAACTGTGGATCTGTGGCCCGCACTTGTGCAATGATGCTGGGAGTCATCTACGCTCTGAACATGGCTTACCCCAAAGAGCTAAGATACTATTACGAATTCCTTCAGAAAGTGCTCTTTCGAATGGATGCTGAAAAGCTTTCCCCCAAAATCCTTGGACTAAGGAACAAAATAGATGCTGGACTGTAGGAAATCTTCAGCCATTCTTGTGAACTGGTCTCATTGCATTGCAGAAGAAAAGAGTCGACGTAATTAAAAAGCACCAGTCAAACCCGGGTAAACGATATATATGGCACACTGAAAAGATGTTTGTTCCATTTATTGATGTGACAGTTAGTCTCGTTCTGGCTCTACACAGATTTGCTATTTTCATCTTCCGCTAGTATCGGAGAGTAAAAGTTTCTGGAGGTTTAAGTCACATGTTTCATTATGTCTTGATTTATTCGCTGACGAATAAGTCTGTTCCCAATGCACTTGGTCTTTTTTTTGTGCCTTAGTTGCGCATGTGAGATTTGTTTGTTGATTTTTTTTCTATTTTTATATATACATATATATTATGACTGGTACTCTAGTACACACACACACAGCTCTGTTGGAACTTTTTGATTTTAAAGCCTCCTGAAGATTCTGCAACACCTCATTGAAGCACTGAAGATAAGATAATAAATACAACACATTTATAGAACATACAAAATAGAAGAACATATCCAACTAAAGAAAAATGAATAAGTGGTAGCACAAGGTTTTGATAGTGTCGTTTTTTTGTTGCTCAGTCTGTTGGATTGTGTTGAGGGGCTTCTAGCGTTAAAGCAACTGGTTTTTATATATATGTAATGTACATATAAACATCTAATGTATATATATATATATGTAATGTGTATGTAATGTATAGGTAATGTGTGTGTATATATACATCCAGTTGTGGAAAAGAATGTTCTTTCTTTTGTTTAGATTATTATGTAAGGTGTATTATAATATGCCCTTTGCTTTTTTTGAATAAAATACACTGATATTGACTAATGGCATTTCATTTGATGAAACTTAATTTTAGTATGTATAATTTAAACAATAAATTGATTAGAATGTAAATAAAAAGAATAGTTACAGTTACCTAATTCATTTGATTAAACTGAACATTGGTTTAGTTGGAATTTCTTAATAAATTTTAGTTAACTCTACTCAAAACAGTTGAGCAGAAATTATAAATAAAAGTAGGCTAAAATTAGTTGAAAATAATGAGTACAATTTACTTAAAAAATATGTCTGGATTTAGATACATTTATGTCGTGCATTTACTTACCTAAAAAAAATTAAGTAAATTCAACACATCATTTTTTTCAGTGCACCCAGTCTCACCCCTGTTCTCTCTCTCTCTCTCATTGTGCAACTCTGTGTCTTAGAAACTAATGGAGTGGGAAATAAAGTAGTAGTAAACGGTTAGATTGATGATGTTCAGCACATGTTAATAATGGATTCACATCCAAGTTCAATATTGTACTGCTCCGTTGTCAGACAAAGTCTTGGCAATACTTTCCAAAAAGCAGCATAAGACCTGATTACAATTGATTAGAAAGTGTCTGCTGTGAAAATTCATGCCTCTGCTAAAAATAATTCAGTAATTTAGACAATCAAATTTTTTTTTAAAGATGAGTCCATGTGTGCGTGGCCGTGGTATATTTCATTTCTTATCCCTCATTTGTAGGAAATTGCCTTACAAATGAAGCTAATCCATTTTTTACAGATCAAAGTAGCAAGAAAAGTCAGAGTGGTGCTTTTATTTTCAAGATCTGAGATATAAAACCTAACCCTAACCCTTTTTTCTTCATTACACAGCAATTTTAAAGCACAACTATACAACCAGTTTGTAAGCCTGAAAATTATTTCTATACAAAATCTGTGGCAAAATCTGTGACTGCTTAAATGTTTTAACACAAGCAAACCCCTTCCAGCATCTCCTGTGATCGCTGTGCCACCGGAGAAAACAATCGTGCCACATCAGATTCATTTGATTACAGGTGTACTTTTTTGACATGCACACATTAAGGAAAACCTATCACTGAACCTTCCATGTGAGCTGAACAGTCTTGGAAATATCAAGTTGTGACCTCTTGCCTTTTATTGCAATACAAAATCCACCGAACCGCAGCTATGCTTACAAATTATTCCTTTGACATCAACAGCTTTATAAAAAAAACTAAAGCCTGGGGAAACACCTTTGTTATTGTTACGTAGTATTTAACACTCAAAAATCTGTTTCATCAGGACTATTAGGACTAGTTTAAAACGATCCGTCATGACAGCTGTCATCACATTTTAACTTGAATGTTGCTCAATTCTGATTGATTGTGATGAAAAGTATGTGATGAAAAGTATGTGACATCACCTTTTCCCCACCAGAGGCCGGCCCACTCGGAAACAAAAAGAAGCGCTTGGAGAGAAGTCCCTTATGTGTAACACCAAAGACGACTTTGGCAGAAGGTTTTAGGATCCAATCGCTCACAGACAACAGATTATTGAAATAAGATTTCTGGTTGAACGTTAATAAATGATTACACACGCAAGCGTACGTATTCAAGTACAGAAGAGTGGAACAGCATGTGGAGCTCTACAAAGTGCATTAACGACCTTGAAGATGTTGATCATCCAGGTCCATGTGCTTTTATCCAGTGAACAGAATACATTAACAAGTTGCCAAGTATTTAGATAGATCTAGTAAACTTTGGCCATTTCAAGATTACTGCGTTCTGCATTTTAAAGCTGTTATCAGTTTAAATGTTTAAAGCTCGCTGACTCGTCTGTGTGTTAAAAACAGATGTGTGTTTTTGATTATCTGACCTTTATGAGGCTCCATACGAGTTTGGGAGCATTGCTATCACATCGCCTCTGAACATGTTTACGGCAAGCCGGTAGCTAATGGTGCTAACAGCTAATGGTGCTAACTATGGCAAAAGTGCGCACGGACCAAACAATGCACACTAGTTAGCACAATTCATCCAAGTGTGTTAATCCATTCTGGTTGCTGTCGCCGGCCCTCCTTCATGCTTCTCACCTCAGATCACCACCATTCTCCACCTTCTCCACCCATTGGTAACCCGGCCCTGCCCCCCTGTCTGTCTTCGCCTGTCTTCAAAGGGCTTCACGGTTTTACAAGCAATCAGGACACACACATACACGCACGTTCCAAATGCAAATAGCCACACACTCCTGCAGGTACACATGCAGCCTTTTCGAATCGGCCCACACGCTGCAAGATGTAACCTTTAGAGGGCAGCAGAGTTTCACTCGGGGTGAATTGGCACATACGGTAGTTGCAAGGATGATTCCCTAATGTGGTCGCTGGACACGCATACACACAACACAACACATTCCTTGCCTTTCTTAATTCCCACACCTCTCTTTCTCTCTTCTGACATTCCTTCTGTTATTGCTGTCATTCCTTTCAGCTCACCCCACCCATTGCGTCGCAGTTGAGGAGGGAGTTGGAGTTTGACAGATCTGCTATATCTGGTTATATGCTGTAATTGAAACTAATTTGTCTTGCTGATGACATTTTCCGCACACTCCTTCAGCCATTGCAATCAGCCGGTATTAGCTGACCCGACGTCTTGTATCAGAATAGGTTATTGAATGAAAAGGAGGTAAACAGGCTTAGCAACGGTGGCATCACCCGAGGGGAAAGCCACTGCAGGTATTGTACAGCTGCCAGCCTCAAATGAGAGTGTGAAAACCTCTCTGTCCCTGTCAGTCTCTCATACACAAACATGAATGCTTGCATTCATGCACACACACACAAACTGTGCCTTAATTCTAACATTTCCCTGGATCAGTGAGAAATTTGCAAGACATTGAAGAGAAGATAAAGAGAGAAATACGTACAAGTTGGCTCTGTGAGTTTAATGATCAGGTAAATAGACAGAGACCCAGAGGTGATGATCACTTACAAAATCACTTTTCCTTTGTCCTTCCTCCTCCTTGTCCTGTTCTGTTGCTCATGCTGGTAAAATAACGTGCCTCCTACTATGCATGAGTCAAATCGCTCAAAGCAGATGCTCTTACCCACATTGTTTGTCATCCTTCCGCAAAGTTTAATTGACAAATTAACTCCTCTGAGTAGAAGGGCTGTAATATATGCAATTTATGACACAATGTCACATTCATTGGCCAGTTTTCAATTTTGCAGAAATATTGTCCTTTAAAATGATTCCCATTACAGATGAATGCTGTCCCACAATACGACCAAATCACCAGTTACTTCATGGAAATACTATTTGAGAAACCGATGATGCCACATGATGAAAAGTCCGGGGATACCGGAGCTATGAGGAATAATCTATGGAAACAAAATGTACTGGTGGTAATCCATCCAATATACTGTATATCACGACTGTAAGTCGTGTACGGATTGCCTGACCTGAAACAAATGATGCAGAAAAGGCAAAAATATTCTGACTTGTAATATTTGTCTTGGAAAGTTTGTCAGTTTTACAAAGCTCCTTTGCAGCTTCAGAAGATATTTCATTACTAATTAGTGTCTTGAAAGCCGAAAAAGATCAAAATCCCATCTCTCTTAGACATATTAGTAAAATAATCATGCGGCAATGAAGTCATGCTACCAATTAATGTGGTATTTAATGCTAGCAGGGGTGATATTTATACGCAATATGGCATTTCATTCATTTCATTTCAATAAATTTCAATTTGTGTCTTTAAAAGATTCCTTTATCTGATGAGACCTACAACTCCTGCAGGGAGAGAGAAACCTTTCCCCTCATACTTTTCCTCGCTTCCACTGGTAAGCTGAGTAACGAGTCAATGGCTTCTCCCGTCAACACGGTTTTTCTTTTACAGTCACTGCGACCCATTAAGGCTGCAGACCTCCTCTTCACTTCTCCCAGCGCTGCATTTTTAGACAGTGCGGGAATCGCAGTTCATGAAGCTGTGAGTCTCATTTGAATAGATGCAGCAGCTGTGCTGACACCATAGCCTCGGCTTGTGAATCCACGCTCCTCTTGCACCACGAGAGAGAGAGAGAGAGAGAGAGCGGAAGCTGAACAACGGCGTGACAAATTCCGTTTTCTTATATTCATCCCGTTGATTTATCCGTTCCCTCTGCTGCACTGCCACCCATCAAGCAGCCCGCTACCACACCCGTCAGCCACACCCCCCATCCCGTCCCCCCGATCTCGCTTCATCCTGCGGAGTGGAAGGCCTGCGGCCGTGGTAATGAGGGAGGTTAATTGGCCTCGCTGTGTCTTCAGGAGGCTGGATGGTGACGATAGCGATCGTGTCCGGATGCCTACCAGCTTGCCCTCTGCCCTTTTGGGATCCAATCGCTCACAGACAGGGCTGTAGTGGAGGGTAAATGCACGTAAACACTGTTTACGCACCTCTGGAATTTTGGAAATAGCGTTTACGCACCTCTAAATAGCGTTTACCCACCTATATGGCGTTATATTTGTGCCACAATCCTGAGCGCGTAATTTTAAGTTTGGAGCATAGAGAACTATATTTTAGCAAAGAAAAACATATTCCGGAGACCAACAGCCAATCACAATTGACCTTCTTTAATTCTCTGATTGGTTGGTTTTGTGGCACAAATGTAACGCTGCTGCAAGTCAAGCGAGCGCGTGAGTGAAACGTCGAGCGAGCGCAGAGTGAAGAGGTGGAGAGAGCGCAGCAACGGCTGCCTGCACGCAGAAAACGAGTTTGTGGAGAGGGCACCTGAGTAAACTGCGTGCACGGAATATGTTTTTCTTTGCTAAAATATAGTTCTCTGTGCTCAAAACTTAAAATTACGCGCTCAGGATTGTGGCACAAATATAACGCCATACACCGCTAAGTGGCGTTTACGCACCTCAAAGTTCCCTGCGCCTTGTATTCTTCCGTTGGAATAATCCGAAATAAACTTGGTGTAATTTTAAAACAGCTAAGACAACGTTTCCTATTGTTGCACATATAAACGCCGTAGTCTGAATCATTTTCATCTGCGCTGTATTATGGTCTGTGAGCATCCAAT